ACAAGTTATGTAGGTTTTTGCATTTTGTACTGACTTGTGGTGTGACTGGACTGTGTCATGTCATCTCTGTAGGCTTCAACTTCCAGAGATGCAGGGTATCTTACAAAGGCCGTAAGAGAGAAGTCTACCCAGGAGGACTCTTCATGTTGATATTTCATAAGGAAACACATTTGGGGCTAAATGAAGACCCTAGATACAAAGCACCAAAAGTTTAATGCCTTCGCTGAAGCTTCACAGCTCAAGACCAATCTGCACTGAACAAAACAACCTCCAGTCTCTCCCACCTCTGCTCACAGCCATTCATGTGTGCTAGGGTAAACACTGCTCCAATATCACAATAACATACATTTACAACAATATGGAATAAAAAAAAATTAAAGGAAGCGGAAGGGAAAGAACATGAAGAAATGTGTTTCGGCACGGCTCACTGAAGGTTGCTAAAAGTTTTTAATAATCGACAAGGCAGAAAGTCTTGTGGTCGCATGAAAGCCTGGAAAAGGATTCCTGGCTTCAGCTTAGCTATTGATTCATTACACGGCTCAGCGAGTGACTTAACATCTTTATGTCTCTATTTACTTCCATGTATAAAAGCAGCTGTAATAACCTTTGTTATGGTTTGTAAAGGTTAATCACCTTATCAGGCACAATCCCAATTATATAGGACTGCAAGTCACAAAGTACAGTTAGCTCAATTTACTTATTTGCAGTTACTTCATTTTATTCCCTATTTGCATGTGGTTTTGTCGGGAAATAAAGCCCTACGATGTGCAGTACAAAGTCAGAGACTGATTATGCAAAATATCATGAAGCAATGAAGAGACACAACCAGAGAACAACAGGGAAGCAAGCAGTCTGGCTAGCATCTCCCAGGAAGCTTAAAGATCTGTTACATTTTCAGCTGGCACAGGGCACTTCTTTTAAGAAAAAGAAAGCTTTTGGTCTCCATTCCTTAGTTTCTTCATTCTAGTCACAAAATAAGGCAGGAAAGGAGTTCATCTGGAAAATGTGCTGCTGACACGCTCCAGTGGCTTGCTCTCGAGAACAAAGATTTCTGTTCACAGGACTTATAATCAGCTCTCAATTAACTTAGCTTTATTCTTCTCTCTATTAGGCAAGACACAGATCACACAAATCATAAATAAATTAGACTATAAGAACAGACTATATTTTGCACATTCACCTTTGAAGAAGAGCATTGTAGTACAGATGAGATCTACG